CAGCTACCAGGCAGGATAGGTCTGAGGAGAGGAAGTCCTTCTCTGTCTTCCTGCATCCACAACAGATCTCTGTCAGGCAGGGTCCAGGCACTCCAAGAGGTGAAGCACCAGCACACAGAGAACAAGCTCTCATTATGCTCAATCAGGATAACGGGGACTAGAGAACCTTTCCAGACATCTTTCCACCCAAAAGCTGGGCTAGGGTGTAGCTCAGTGGTAGGGTACACTCAGCATGGGAAAGGCCCTGGGTTCATCCTCAGATCTGTTCCCCTAAAACAAAGGAGGAAGGGGGAGGGGGGGAGGGAGTAGGAGAGAAAGGGACAGGGGAGGGGGGAGGGGAGAGGAAGAAGGGCCAGCCTCTCAAGCTGTATAAGCATGGGCCTGGACAGGTAAAGAACAGGTACTAACCTGGAGAAGGTTTGGAGACAACAAACACCTCCCTGGGAACTACTGCTTCGGGGTCAGATTTACACCTGTGTCCATCCTGACACTGACTTGGTGGTGACCTGTCAGCATGCACAGTGCGGCGGTGCCCAGCTCGGCCTCAGTCCCGGGAGCACAGGGCTCTCTGCGGAAGCCATCGCTTTGCTACGCCCTCCCTGACCACATCCCGACCTCGACCCCGAGCTTCCTCTCCTCAACCCCGACTGCCAGGTCCTTCCCTATGGCTTTCTCCTCCAGTAGACCATCCGGCTCTGCTGTGAGGGCCACGTGGCCACGCACCGAGCTTGTCCCTCACAAGCCTGCACCTCGTGTTCCCTCATCCCGTCCCACCAGAGAAAGGTACGGTTCCCAGCCCAGGGCCCGGCGGTGACAGCCTGTGTGCCCTCTGACCCGGCAGTCCCGCCTCCACGTACCCGCCCGGGTCTCAGACCTTCTCGCCAGGAGGTGGCCTGGGTGGGGGGAGGCTCGGGCACCCCTCCCCGCCCGGCCCGCGAGGTGGGCGTGGGGCCCTGCGACCCTGGGCCCCGCCGCCCCGTCGACTCCCGGCGCAAGGCCTACGCTGCCTCCCCACTGGACCCCAAGGCCGCGCCGGGGCTCGGAGCAGGGCGCGGAGGCGGCGTCCAGAGAGCGCGGAGCCACAGGCCGGGGCCCGCAGGGCCGCAGCGCGGGTCCGGCCCGGCCCGGGCGGGGCGGGCGAGGCGCCCCGCGGAGCCCGGCCCCACCCCGCCCGCGGAGCCCGGCCCACTCCCGGCCGCCGGAAGCTGCTGTCCACAGGCCGGAAGCTCGGCCGCGGCCCGCAGCGGCCGGCCCGCCCCCCGCGCGCCCCGCGCTGCGCGGAGGCCGCCGCGGCCCCGGGGGAGGCCCTGCGCCCGGGCCGGCGGACGACGCGCCCCGGCCGCCCGGGCCCACCCCGCGGCCGGAGGGGCCCGCTTACCAGAGCTATGGTCGCCGTCGCCATCTTGCGCCCGTCGCGGCCGCCGCGCGCGCCACACACTCCGGCTCCTTCCGCAGTCTCGCGCGATCTGGGGGCCAGCGAAGGAATTCTCGCGATAAGAGGTCTTTTTCGAGCGACGTGGAAGGAGAGAGGAAGTCACTTCCGGGGCGGGGAAAGGTGGTCAACGCCCCCGGGGCGGGGCCGCGCGGGGGAGCGGGCGTGTCGCCCGCAGCTCCGCCGCCGGGGGCCGCGCGGGGCGGACCCGGGAGCTCCCCTCCGTCCCGGCTGGTCGGGCGTCGCTCGCGTCCGCTGCCCAGTGGCTCACAGAGCCGGCTTGCCGGGCGCGCGGCGCCGGGACAGCCGGAGCCGCCTGCGGGAGGGCCAGAGCTCCGTCCCCTAGGCCGAGCGCTATTTCCGAAGGCCCCGAGGCTCAGGCCGGCGTCCCCGCTACCCCCGCGGCTGGCGGCTGGGGATTATGGTCCAGGCAGGAAAGTCTTTTCCCCAGTTAACTACCCAAAAGGCTGGAAGTGTCCGTGTGACTTAAGCGCTAGCCTCGGGCGGCACCCTGGCTCTGAGTTCAAGCCCCAGCGCTGGCGCGTGTGCACATTCAGTCATGCACACACACACACAGGCTCCAGGCGTTCATCTGTGATGGGGGAAGAGCTCACAGCCCAGTGCCAAGACCCCAAACCAGGTGTCCGTTTGCAAGAGAACGAATACGTAAACTCCCACAACTCAGCTTCCTGAGGCTAGCGTCGTCACCGGACAGGCAGTCTCTCTTCAACTTTGAGTAACTACAGTGGAATATAGACATCTCTAGCAATATATGACAGTATTTCTGTCCGTAAGCCCCTCTATAGTGACAGAAAAGATTCACAAAGGCAAAGCCTGTGAGTGCAGCGGTGGAATGTTGTAGAACTGAAGGGGTTAGGACAGCAGAGCTGCTCCCGTCGGCTGGATGGAGGAGGTCCCGTCACAGCAGCTCATGTGATAGTGCTGCTGGAAAAAGCAGGCCTCTTCCCCCGCTGCTGGTGCAGGCAGGCACCGCCTGGGAGTGGGTTCTGGGAGAGGAGCCCTGAGATCTGGCTCTGTTTCAAATGTTGGAACATGAGGGCTGGGAAAGTAGCTTAGTGGAAGAGTGCTTGCCTAGCATGCATGAGGCCCTGGGGTTGATTCCTCAGTACCACATACACAGAAAAAGCCAGAAGTGGCACGTAACTCAGGTGGTAAGAAGCTCAGGGACAGTGCCCAGGCCCTGAGTTCAGGCCCCAGGACTGGCAAAACAAACAACAAAACAAGTTGGAGCATGAGTGAGACTGCTGCCCCTCCCCCACTCCCGGAGGCTGACCTCACACCTGCCATTCAGGTTCCTCCAAGAGGAGGTCTCTCTGTACTTCCCAAGTTGGAAGGTAAGACCAGCAGCTGGGGTTGCCTAGAATGGCCCAGCCAGACCCTGGCCTTAAATCTTAGCAGGTGGGAAGTTCCAGCCATGAACTCTCAAGCAGCACTGGACAGCACTGGATCACCAGGCACAAAAGGAGGAGGGAATGAGACTCAGAACTAAGGGCCTGTGTTCCCACAACCCCACCAAGAGACATGTAGGTAGGAAAAGCATGGCTCTAGACTAGCCTGAGCAAAAAGTGAAAGCAGAAAGAGATGGGGGCATGGCTCAGGCGATTGAGCTCTTATTTAGCAAGGGTGAGGCCCTGAGTTCAAAACCCCAGGGCTACCAAAAGACAGAAAGAACCAAAGCAATAAAGAAAGCTGAGGAAAGAAAAAAATAAAGCTAAAGGACATCCTCAGAGGTATCCAAGATGTTGCATCCAAAAAACAAGAACTGACATATAAAGAATATTCATCAAGTGAGTTTTTCCAAATGAAAAATTTCACGAAAAGAGTCAGCAATTAGATATGCCCTTGAAAGATGAACTTGAGACCATCCAGAATGCAAAACAGCAAAACCAAGTAGCAAGAAAACAGAAGCTAGTCTCCATGGCTTAGGACCAGCCAGAACACCACAGCCTGGGGGCCAGGATGGCTGAGGGGTGGGGCTCACCACCACAGCTAGAGGGAGCCCTGTGCGTGGTGGCAACTTGATAGAGATGAAGAGCACTGGGCACAGGTCCTTGATTGCCGGTCTCGCTTCTTCTCACACCTGGAGCTCATAACCGCTGTTGCAGCTGCCCTCTGCAATGGGTCCTACTGCCACGGCTCCAGCCATAGCACAGAGAGCAGCAGTTCAGTTCTGGAGTCTAGCCTCTCACCCCCATAACACCTCTAGGAAAGCAAATCCAGCAGGGTACTAGTGGCCGGTGCCTATAAGCTACTCGGGAGATTGAGATCTGAGGATCGTGGCTTGAAGCCAGACCAGGTAAGAAAGTTTTTAAGACTTATCTCCAATAAACCACTCAGAAAAAAGCCAGAAGTGGCGCTGTGTCTCAAGTGGTAGAGTGCTCACCTTGAGGAAAAAAAAAAAAGCGGGGGGGGGGGGGAGAGATAATGGGACAACAAGGGAAGGGAAGGAGTAACTGATCAACATGTAATATACTCATTGCCTTATGTAACTGTAACCCCTCTGTACAGCATTTTTACACACACACACACACCAAAGACGAACAGGCAGACTCCATGACTTTGCATGTATCCTCTCAGGAGACAGCCCCTCTTCAAAGGGATGAGAGGAATGCTTGGGCTGTAGAGACAACAGAATGGGCTCCAGGCACCCAGGGAAAGTATCCTAGGATGGCAGCGGGGCGCAGGGCTCACTTGATGAGACTCAGGAAAACAAGAAACTGTTTGATTATGCCCATTGCATGGAGAGGCGGTCCATTTCTCAAAGAGTATCTAAAGACGAATGGCAGACACACAAAACCAAGTCAAAAAAATTATCCACTCCAGGGATACAACAGTTGTGCAAGAGAGAAAATACAACACAGGACACCTCGTTCTCCGGGGACACCTGTGACAATGCAGCTGGATAATCCACAGATGGCAGTGACCTGGCCCTGCAGGGAGAGGCTGGCAGGGGTGGCAGATGAGCCCTGCAGATGGCACTGCGGACACCGCTGTCCACCCCCCACAAAGCCCAAGACCAAAACATTCTTTTCATTGTTAATTTATTTGGTATGCCTTGGCAATTTTCTTTGTTTGGGTTTGGGCTTTTGGTTAAAGCAGCAGTGTTTTTTTCTGTTGTTGTTGGTGGTGGTGGTCATGGGGCTTGAACTCTGGGTCTGGGCGCTGTCCGTAAGCTCTTCAGCTCAAGACAAGCACTCTACCACTTGAGCCACAGCAGCACTTTTAGTTTTCTGAGTGATTTATTGGAGATAAGTCTCATGGACTTTCTTGCTTGGGCTGACTTTGAACCATGATCCTCAGATCTCAGCCTCCTGAGTAGTGAGGATGACAGGCATGAGCCACCGGCACTCGGCTAGCAGTGTGGTTTTTGAGAAACACATTCTAAGTGCCTGAAGAAAACCTAGGAGAATTGAATTTGGGGATGATCAGAGAACAGACTAGATTTCTTAGCGATTGACCCCAAAAGATGATTCCACTTTTAAGACAGTTTACATGTAATTCCGGAAAGATAACACTTAAAAGGAAACTCAACAAAGACTGAAGGAAGTTCGGCACTGGAAATGCTGGTGCTTTCCAGCTCATTTAATCGCTGCTTCAATCGCTTATGGAAACTGTGTAAGACTAGCCAGCTCCCAGAATTCCCGTTATATGAGATGTACAATTTCATACTGGAAAGTAGGAGGATCTGAAGAAGTTTGTAAAGCTATTGGAATGTTAAAGATAACCTGAAATCCATTCTAGTTCATTTATTTGATATGCCTGCTTTGCAAGTTTTAATTCTGGCTTTTGGTTAAGGTGGTGTGGTAAGCAGAACACCCCCCCCCCCCCCAAAAATTGTCAGTTCCTTAACCAGAATTACCAGTTGCCGTTAATCTACAGGGCAGAGGGTGCTTTGTGGATGTGGTGGATTTACAGAGCTTGTGAGGGGTTATTGGGTGGGCCTGATCTAATCACAGGAATCCTCAGGGAGATGGAGATGATAGGTTTACAGCGGATTCAACTGGGTGCTGCTGGCCTTGATGTAGAGGAAGGAGGGAGCAAGATGGTGGGTGAGCCTAGAAGCTAAGAGTGGCCTTCAGTTGACTTAAGAAACCTGGGCCCTACCATGGCCAGGAAGTGAATTTTGTCAGCACTTGAATGAGCAGGAAGTAGATTCCACCAGAACCTCCGAGAAGACATACAATGAAAGTCAATGTAACACTTGATTTAGTCTGGTAGGACCCTGGGTGTTCTTCCCACCCACAGAATCATCATAAGCGTGTGTTTATCTTGAGTCACTAAGTTTGTGATGTTCGGCAGCTATATACAACTAGTACAGTGGTGAGCCTTCCTGGTTTGACATTTGAAATGCTTAAAAAGGAAGTTGAATGCATGAAGTTTACGCATACAAGTTAAAACACCTTGACTATTAACTAAGATGGAAACTGGAACACAGGCAGTGCCAGAAACCAAGGTGGTGTGAGCATCCCGTGGGTGGCCTGACAGCGCCGCAGGAGCCCAGTGCGAGAGACAGGCGGCCAGGGGGCCCAGGCCACAGCTGCCGGGGAGCGGGGAGGGGCGCAGGAGGCAGTCTTGTGTGAATGGAAGATCAGGGATGGGGCTCGGCGGTCTGCCCAGAGCCCCCAGCCCCCGGGGCGTTGCTGACTGCAGGCTCCATCCTGCTTCTCTGGCCAGCTGGCTCCCAGCTCAACGCTGCACACGCACCAAACCGGGTCACAGCTTGCTCTCCGGGTTCCCGGCCTGGGTCTGTTGTGCCAATGGTGGGTGCCTGCTCTCCCTGCCAGATGTGGCAGGCTCCCTGGCAGAGGTCTGTCCAGGGCTGACCCCTGCCCTCCCTCCACCCCTCACCCACGCTCCCTCGCTCTGCTGAGCTCCACCCCCACCCCTGGGGCCCAGCGCTGCTCAGGGAGACTCCAGGCCCACCAGCAGGCCCAGGATTCATTCACTCGGGAGAGCCAGCCGAGGGCAGCTCTGGGGGGCGCCAGCCTCTCCCAAGTGGGGCCACCCTGAGCCGCAGCGCCACGCTGGGATTCCAGGGCTGTGTGGGTCAAGCCTGGGTCCCCCGGTACTTGAGGAACGTGCTCTCCAGGAAGGCGGCCAGCTTCGCCCTGTCGTCCTGCAGTGGGGAGCGAGGCGTGGCAGACGGAGGTGAGAGGCAGAAAGCCGCCGCCCCCCCCCCTGCTGCCCACCTCGCCCACCCATGCAGGAAGCCGTAGTGCACCAGCTCTGCTGCGAGGTCCTGGGTGCCCCCCCGCCCCCCCACCCCCCTCCCTGCTGCCCACCTCATGCAGGAAGCCGTAGTGCACCAGCTCTGCGGCGAGGTCCTGGGCGCTGTCGGCTGCAGCAAGGACGGGGCAGAGGGTGCGTGAGGTGGCAGCACTGGGCAGCCTGGGCCCCAGCCACCACCCGTGTCCCCGGCCAGCCTACTTGGGAGCAGGTCGTAGGTCAACTGCCTGTGCAGCCTGTCCTCCAGCACCAAAAGCAGCGTGAGCTGGAGGCGGGAGGGTGTGGTTGGGCCGGGCAGCGGGGCCCAGCCCGCCTGCCCGGCCCGGCCCAGGGCCCTGCTCACATGCCAGCGTGCCTTGTCCTCGCTCCTCTCCAGGTTACACTGCATCTGGACCACCTGGGAGCAAGGCCACCATGAGGGCAGCTCAGCAACCAGGCCAGAGGGGACAGCTGAGGCCGCACGCGAGCGGGCGGCATCTTCAAGAACACCCAGAGAGCCCAGCCCATTGCCTGTGCCTGGGCACGAGGCAAGCCTGCAGGAGGAGGCATCGGGCCTGGGCGCTGAGGGATGAACGGGAGCTTCGCTCGGGCAAAGAACACTGGACACGCAGGGGACGATGGGACATGAAGCCAGGGCCTTGTGGACGGGAGGGAGTGGAGAGGAAGGAGACAGGGTGCCTGGCACATGGTCCAGGTGAGGGCTACAAAAGACTTAGCTCAGGGCCGCAGCAGTGGAACACAACGGAGGCCAAAGCCCCTGGAGCCACGGAGTGTGGGCAGGACCAGGAGGGGAGGGGAGGGGGCCCGGCCATGCCTTGCAGGAGAGGGTGTGGGGACATGTGGGTTCTGGTGAGTTTTGGGAAAGTCCCAGGATGCAGGTATTAGGAATTAGCTGGCTTCAGGGGTAAGATCTGACAGATGAGGTTGACACTGCTAGGGATAGACTGGTATCTGGCTAGGGAGCAAGGTCTCTGAAAAGAAGGGTCCCAGTTTGATTTTCAAGGCCTAAGCCCTCCTGGTGGCATCAGTATGGGCCTGACCTGTGGCCTGGAGGAGGGCCAGCAGGGTGTGAGGACTCACCTTCCTGGTCTCTGAGTCGAAGGGCTCTGGCGTGGGGGTCTTGGCCTTCTGGGCTTCCTCCGGCGGTGGGACTAACACACGCGGCAGCCCTAAGGGCCTCGCAGCCGCGAAATTCATCAGCGGGTAGATCCCGTTCCTGGGGACACAGCAGAGGGTGTCTGGGGCCTGGGCCTGGCAGCGCTCATGCCTCAGCCTCCTTCAGCGCTCACCTGACATCCTCCAAGAACTTGTCCAGCTCCAGGAACGAGACCTCCGAGTACCTGGTGTAGGTGGGAGACACATGAGGGGCAGGCGTGGGGGGCACTGGGGAGCTGCCGGGAGCCTCCGCCCGGCTCCTCACCGCCACTGTGTCGGGGGCCCGTGGGGCTGAGGCATCTCTGCCAGCACTGCGTGCAGATCCATTGCTTTGGTCTTTTCTTCCACCACATTTTCAGGCATGAGATCTGCGGTCCGTAGGAATGCATAGGGCGGTGGGCCTCAGGCGGGGAGCCCACAGGTCCTGCAGGGCCCCGCCCCCACCCAGCCCGCCTCCCCTCACACTGGTGCTGGATGAAGCAGTGGGCAGCCAGCAGCTTCAGCGAGTGCACCTCAAAGAGCACACGGTGGAAGAGGAGGTTGTGAGCGGAGGGTCGGCGGGCAGGGTCTCGGGCCAGGCAGGACAGGATGAACTCCTGGGGTGTGGGGAGGAGAAGCAGTTGGTGGGTGGAGGCTCTAGTCCCATAGAGAGGGAAAGGGGTGCTGTGAGGACCCCAGGTCTTTGTAATTTGCCCTTTGCTGGGCCTGAGAACCTGGTCCTCACAAAACTCCCTTCCCCAGAGCCCCAATCCCACAGCCCTCCCTCCCCCAGAGCTCCAATCCCACAGCCTTCCCTCCCCCAGAGCCCCAATCCCACAGCCCTCCCTTCCCCAGAGCCCCAATCCCACAGCCCTCCCTTCCCCAGAGCCCCAATCCCACAGCCCTCCCTTCCCCAGAGCCCCAATCCCACAGCCCTTCCCTTCCCCAGAGCCTCAATCCCACAGCCCTCCCTTCCCCAGAGCCCCAATCCCACAGTCCTCCCTCCCCCAGAGCCCCAATCCCACAGCCCCTCCCTTCCCCAGAGCCCCAATCCCACAGCCCCTCCCTTCCCCAGAGCCTCAATCCCACAGCCCCTCCCTTCCCCAGAGCCCCAATCCCACAGTCCTCCCTCCCCCAGAGCCCCAATCCCACAGCCCTCCCTTCCCCAGAGCCCCAGTCCCACAGCCTTCCCTTCCCAGAGCCCCAATCCCACAGCCCCTCCCTTCCCCAGAGCCCCAATCCCACAGCCCTCCCTTCCCCAGAGCCCCAATCCCACAGCCCTCCCTTCCCCAGAGCCCCAATCCCACAGCCCCTCCCTTCCCCAGAGCCCCAATCCCACAGCCCTCCCTTCCCCAGAGCCCCAATCCCACAGCCCTCCCTTTCCCAGAGCCCCAATCCCACAGCGCCTCCCTCCCCCAGAGCCCCAATCCCACAGCCCCTCCCTTCCCCAGAGCCCCAATCCCACAGCCCTTCCCTTCCTCAGGGATGCAGCTGAGCACACAGGTGAGCATGCAGGGGAAGGCAGTGCACCAGCAGCCCAGCCAGGCCCTGACTCGAGGGCCTTGAGGACAAGTTAGGGCCTGGGCTCCGCAGCCACACTCTACAATCCTTGACTGGCAGGAGCAATGAGCTCCAGTGAGCCCTCCTCTGGGAGGGAGGGCGGGGGAGAGGGTCCTCCAGGCAGCAGCTGGCTCACCCTCAGCTGTCCTGATTGGCTAACCCCTTTAGCCTGCTCCAAGCACCTCGCCGGCCTCCTTGGCCACCTAGAGCCAGGCTCAAGGGCAGGACGAGCACTCACCCGCATGTTGGGGTCACTCAGCGAGTGCCTGGCTCGAGCAATGGCCTCCTCTGTGACTCGGGTGTCCCCGTTGGCCTGGATCTCCAGAACAGCCATCTGGGGTGCAGCCGGGATGGAGCACAGGTAAGGTGGGGGGAGAGCCCACTGGAAAGGGGCTGGGAGGGGTGCTACTACCTCCAGGGCACACATCCCAAAGGAGAAGATGTCCACCGCCGTCCCATCGTTGACCTCTGCACGGGGGAGGTGGGGGCAGGTGGGAATGGTGGCTGTGTGAGCAGGGGGCGTGGGCCGCCCTGGACTGCCCACCCTGGCCTCACTGCCCCGGCCTCACTGCCCCTGGCTGCCCACCCTGGACTGTCCGCCCCAGACTCACCACCGTACTCCGGAGGGAAGAAGTGCAGGTTCCGTTGCTCCTCACGCTCGGCCCTGATGGGGCTGCGGAGGTCGTCTGGGAGCACTAGGGAAGAGCGTGGGGCTGAGCACAGCGCTTCCCCACGCACCCTGGGATCCCCTCAGAGGCCCCACGCACCATTGGAGAAGATCCTGTACCACACTGCGCGGGCCACAGCGGAGAGGATGAACGTCAGCAGGCAGCGTCACCAACCACTTCTGCCCTAGGCTCCCTGAGATTCCCTAGACCTACCCCCACCCCTGACCCCGCCCCCCCCACCCCTGCCCCCCTGCCCTGGCCCTGCCAGCACCGGAGCCGATCTTGATGAGGCCGTTGTGCTGAATGAAGATGGTGTCACTGGTCAGGTTTCCGTGGATAATGGGGGGGCTGCAGGCATGCAGAAAACTGGGGACGTGGTGGGGAGGAGAAGGCGCCAGGTCAGAGGGCGGGGGAGAGATGAGGCCCACTGGGACAAGCCGAGCAAACCCAGGCCTCACCTGAGCGCCGACAGGATCTGCGTGCACCAGCGTTTCCAGGCCTGGCGGTGGACGCATGGCTCCGTTGGGTGGGTGCAGACACGGCTGGGCCTGTGGAGCCTGCCTGCCGCCCTGGCCCTGTCCGGAGCTGCCCTGAGCCCCCCACTGCCCCGCCCCTGCCCCGTCCCAGACCTTCCAGGTCCCCTCCTGGCCCACTCCCCGTACCCGTGTGTTCATGGCCTTGTGATTCTTCTTGGTCTTTTTGAGGAACTGCTTGAGGCTGCCCGAGGACACGTACTCGGTGATGAAGATGAGCTGCGGGGCGGGTGCGGGAGCTCTGCCGTTTCAGGGGGCAGCCCACGGCCCGGCGCCCCAGGAGCCCCCAGCCCCCTCACACGCGCCCCGGCTCACCCTGGCACGAGCCGTGGAGGAGTCTAGCCAGTACTTGTGAAGTTTCACGATGTTGGGGTGGTCCACCAGCGCCAGCTGCTCGAACATGGTCTGGATCTTCTCCTGGGGAGGGGGACGGTCACCTGGCCGCCTTCGGCCAGGCACGGGGGTGGAGGGGCAGCCATTCTCACCTCGTGGGCCGCGAAGGCCTTCCTGTTGCCGAAGTGGAGCTCATTCCACACCACTTCCACCCCCTCCTCCGTGTCCATGGCCAGGAAGGTGCTCTGGATCCCGGGCATGTTCCCCTGGTTCACCTGCCGGTGGGAGCGGGGTACGTGTGCGGCGGGGTGGGGCACGCGGTCCCTGCCCCCCGCCCACGGGCCCGGTGTGCGCCGCAGGCCCAGACCCGCTCCTCGAGGAGCCGGGGCACTGGAGAGGGGCTGGCCCCGGGCGCAGGCCCCGCGGCCCGGCGGCCCCTCGGCGCCCACCTGCTCCCTCCGCTTCTGCCAGCGGCCGCACGGGCTCTCCTCCAGGATGTCGCTCTCGTCCTCGCTCTCGTCCTCCCGCTCCCGCTCGCGGCCCCGCCTCGGCGCCCGCTCCGGAGCCGCCATGGCTCGGCGGGCCCAGCCACCGCCCTCCGCGCGATCCGCCGCCCGGCGCCGCTCGGCTCCTTCGGCGCTGGACCCGCGCCCGGCCGCGCGGCCCGGAACCCGCGGAGCCGCCGCCTCCAGCCCGGGCTCGGCCAGGGAGTCGGCGGTGCGGGCTGGTGCGGACTGGGGGTGGAGCCGGCCCGCCCCTTCGGAGCCGCCTCGGGGGCGGGGCTGGAGCGCCGCTCTGGGAAGGGCCGCCCCGGCCCGCCCCGGCCCGCCCCGCCCCGCCCCGGCCGCACAATCTGCCCAGGTTGTCCAAGCCCCGCCCTGACGTCCAGGCCCCGCCCAAGTCCCAATCTGCTCGACACTAGGGCCCCGCCCATCCGCACAAGTCCCGCCCATATCGCCCAGGACACACCTATCACAAGGTACCCGCTCAGGAAGCCACGCCCTCGCGAGCACCGCCCCTCGCAGAGGCCCCGCCCCTCGCAGAGGCCCCGCCCCTCGCAGAGGCCCCGCCCAGACAGCGGGGTGGGGTTCTTGTCCCAGCCCTGCGCCCGTGGCGCGCGACCCCGACCGGGGCACCGCGCACCGTCTCCGCCCGGCTCCCCCAGCAGGGTTCTTCCCGCCCGCTTCCTCGCCGCCCTCGCCCTGGGGTGGGCCCCGCGGAGCCCCCGCTTCGCTGGCAGTGAACCCCCAGCGTCCAAACGGGGGGGGGGGACGGCCGCGTTCCTGCAGGAGCCCCGTGGGCCCCGAAGGGGAACTCGCCGTGCGCGCCGGCTACCGGGGTCCCCCTCCCGCGCTCCCGGGGTCCCCCTCCCGAGCTCCCGGGGTCCCCCTTCCGCGCTCCCGGGGTCCCCCTCCGCGCCAGCATCGGGGCGGTGGGCTTGGGTTCGTCACCGCCCGAATGCCTGGCTCCCCCGGCCCGATGTGTCCGGCCTGCCCAAGTGTCAGCCCCAGAGTCCGCGCCCCTGCGCCCTCGCCCCACGACCCCCGTCGCCCCAAGCCCCAGCACCCGCGCCCCGCGCCCCCACAGAGCCACCCGGCTGGCCCGGCCTCTCCTCACCGGAAGAGGATGGGCTCCGCAGGGTGGGAGGCTGAAACCCAGCCCATCCACGGAGCCGGGTCCCGCGCCCCGCGTGATTGGTGTCTTTGCGGGGCCACCCGAGTGCCGGAGCAATGAGTGGGGTCCGCGCCTGCTCGGTGCCACAACCAAGGGCACGGCGGGGGCACGCATCGCCAGCCCTTTGCTTGGCCGTAGCAAATGGCGCCTGCGCCCTCGTGCCTTTCTGAGGCCTAGGAGCCCTAATAATGACTCGCCAGAGCCCAGGCTCGTGCTGGGATGCCGGCCGGGCCTCTCCTTCCTTGGAGGACCAAATCCAGGCCCTCACAGTTGGCCTGACACCCAGCCCTGTGGCCTGCCCCGCGGCCTGGGCCTCAGCTGTTTGCCCACCAGGCCAGGGAGGGCAGCAAGGCCTTCCTCTGCCAGCGCTCCCAGCGTGCCCTTGGGTCCTGGTCACCTGTCACCCCTCAGACAGGCAGCACCGCCGCTCCCAAGCCTAACCTCCTTCCACTTTCTCCATGGTGGCTTGTGGTACTCAAAGGCTTCCTTCTGTGTCCTGATTCCTCCTGGAGCTCCGGGCAGATGTCTGCTCCTTCCCCTGCTCAAGACAAGGCCTGGCACACAGCAGACCCTCGCAAACATACTGACCAGTTCTGTGGGTGGGCAGGGCACAGGCCTAGGCAGGTTATCTAAGGAGACAGCATCCTCATCCCTGGGACCTGGAACATGGCCTTGTTTGAAAGGAGGGAGGGTGAACAGAGGAGGAACCCACGCCAGACGGCAGAGACGGAGGGCGGCAGAGACGGAGGGTGTGTTGCAGGAACCGGTGACTGTGGGCTGCTGGGGTGCGGAGAGCCTCCAGCCCTGCCCGCGCCATGGCTGAGGAAGGCTAGGAGAGATTTGCGTTGTTTAAAGCCTAGACTCACAATGAGAACAACGACACACGGATACACTTCGGAGGAAGGCATGGCTTCATATTCCCTGAGGGTCATTCGGAGCCTCCCACTGGTGTGGGGAGGAGGGTGGCTTGCTCTCTCCATTCCTGCTTTCTGACCCGTCACACCTGGAAGGTCAGCTGGCTCCCTGGGCTTGGGCAGGTGTCCCAGATGCAGTAGGAAAAAGCCGGGGGGGGGGGGAGCTGGAGTGAGAGGTGCCTAGAGGTCCCTCACCATTCCCTGTCTGCCCCGGGGCCCTACTGCCTGGTAGGCAGCGCCTGCTGGGGATGGGCAGACTGGACTTGAAGACTCGCTTCTGCGATGGTGGCAGTGGAAGGGGCTAGCCCCTGTGAGAGGAGGGCCATGACCCTGCCCTTTGTTCTCATTCTAAGGAAGCCAGCATGGAGGTTGTGGTCTGCCCTGGGGGACCAGGTGGCAAGAAACTGCTGCTGCCAGACAAGAGTCCGTGAGGGCCTCTTGGACCCGTCCCTCCATAGCGTGGTGAGCGGGAGGTAGATTTGGGTGGCAGTGAGCATGTGTTCAGAAGGACCAAAGGAATGTAAATGACCAATTGTTTCAAGAGAGATTTCAGGGGGATGTCACCATTCTTAATCTTGTGAAGTGGAGGCAGAAGATGGCATTGTCTAAACAGAAGGCCAGGGGTGCTCTTGACAGCTGCTCCTGTATTGGAGGCCCTCTGTGATGGAACATCACCATAGTTACCAAATCGCCTTAGAGGAACATTAGACTTCATGGTTTTAGTCATGGCAACAATTTGTCAAAAAGACCAAATTGCGCTTTGTCAAGAGAGTGGTAAAATAAAGTTGACACGGCGTCATATCATCTGAGGAGAATTTTTTTCTTCTCAAGGTGAGCGCTCCACCACTTGAGCCACAGATGCATTTATGGCTTTTTTTCTGGTGGTTCATTAGAACCACAGGGTTCTCACAGGCTTTCCTGTTCAGTTGGACTTAGGACCGTGATCCTCAGATCTAGGCCCACTGGATAGCAGGCTTATGGTGTGAGCCGCCGGCACCCGGTAGGACACCAGAATGCTGTGGATGTCAGGATCCTGGTGGAGTAACCGGGACCACCTAGCACTAGGAGTGCAGGATGCTTGCCAAGCTGAGGCTGGACTTTGAGGAGGAAAAGAAAGACCAGTGTGGCCGCCCGTGTCTACAGTCCCAACAGCTGGGAACTGCAGCCGGGAATCCTGTGCTCCCAGCAGCCTGAGCTACATAGAAGGAGGCTGTCTCAGAAAACAACAAAACAAAACCAAACCCACAAATGGAAACCAAAAGCCTGGTAGGTTCTAGTTCCCCTGATTCGGTGCTGGGTGATTCTGGACTTAATTTGGCCCATCTGTTTGTCTAGGTTAGCTTTAACCTGGGCTTAAGTGACCCTTCGGTCTCAGCCTGACGAAGACCTGGGACTACTCTGAGCTCTGTCTTCAGATGGCCACAAAGATCCCACAATCCCGGTGCCCCCCCACACCCCCAGACTCTACATCCCCCCGTGCACCCGATTCCTCACACCTGCCTGGGCGTCAGCCCGCTGTGGCTGGCACGAGCTTCCTGACCCCAGCGTGGCTGGTGTGGGCCTCTTGACTGAGGACCCGTTGTGGAGTCGGTGCCTCATGTCCCAGCCTGCCCTGGGACATGAGTGGCTGGGCCCCCCGGGCCTCCGCTCACTGTGTGTCAAGTTGGAATTGTAATCCGGGCCCCACCAAGTGTGGCACCCTGGCCTGGCCTTCCTCCTCCTCGGGATACAGCTGGAGGCTCCCGGAGGCAGCTGGACCAGTGAGGGGCGGAGCTCAGAGACCCAGGCCAGGTGCATCTGCGGACTGCGTGCTCCCTGCCACATCAACAGCTTTGGCCTGAGGACGGCGTCGCCCCAGCCCTGCGGTGGGCACGGGAAGCCCAAGTCCAGAGAGACTCGCTTGGTCCTCTTCTGAGCTGGACAGTATGAGGGAAACGGCCTCTCTGTCCCTTGCACTGTCCCAGGCCTGCCGGAGGAGGCCCCTCTGCTCTTGGGATTCGTCGCGCCTGGGGTGGAGTTTGAAAGAGAATGGATGTGGGGAAGACTGCCTCGGAAGGTGGCCACACAGTCCAAACCTGACCAGGAGGCACCCTGGCCCAGGACGCCGTCGGCCTCGCAGGGCTGACGGGAGTCCAGCGCGCCCCGGGAGGCTACAGAAACATACAAACGATCGGCCAACGACTCAATGTCCCTAGTACTAGCACAAACAAGTCTGGGGAAAGGAAATTGACCAATGGCAGTGTGTCCATGGCCCACTTCAGGTCCACAGGATCTCTGCGTGCTGTGGGGACCAGGAGTGGGGACCTAGACTCCCACAACGGAACCACAGCCTTGTGAAGACCACGCTGACAGAGCGCTACGTTGCCCAAGGCTTGACATTGCTGTTTACCTTATTTAATCTTCATGTTAAGAATTCATAGTTTTGGAGATGAGCCTTCAAAAAGCTGAACTCAAAGTCAGATGCTGATGGCTCATGCCTGTGACCCCAGCTACTTGTGAGGCTGAGAGGGGGTGGATTTACAGTTCCAGAACAAAGTAGGCAGCAAAGTCTCTGCAGCTGCTTTTCCATGGAAGGAAACCAGATGTGTCACCGGAGGAGCAAGGGAACTGCCCTGGGGGGGAGGGGGATGTAGGGGGGTGTGGAGGGGTGTGGGGGATGAGGGGGGGGAGCAAGGGAACCGCCCTGGGTGGGGGGGGCGGGGGGGGGCGGGGGGCACACCCAGGCAGGAAGGGAAACCCAGAGGTAAACACAACCCGTGGAAACCAGGGCTGACCCTGTGGCTCTGAGGTCTATACAGCCGAGAAGCGTGTAGCTATGTTTAGGCCAAGCACTGCCAAAACAAACTGTAAACAAGAGCCAGGCACCAGTGGCTCACACCTGTCATCCTAGCTACTCAGGAGGCTGAGGTCTGAGGATCACGGTTCAAAGCCAGCCTGGGCAGGAAAGTCCATGAGACACTTGTCTCCAATAAACCACTAGAAAACCGGAAGTGGCGCTGTGGCTCAAGTGGTAGAGCGCTCACCTTGAGCTGAAGTGCGCAGGGACAGCGCCCAAGCCCAGAGTTCAAGCCCCACAACCGAAAAAAACCCTCCCAAAAATTGTAAAAAAAAAATCTTAATACCAAAAGCAAGCGATTATTGATTGTGTCCCAGTGTAAAGGTGTGTGGAGATGTAATATGGAGTCCCCCACCCCCGTTAATAATATGAGTTAGTAAAAAAGGGAGCTAAAAGGAAATGGTTCTTGTGCTCTGTCTCTCACAGCATGAGGATATTTGTCAGACTAAGGCCCTTCCCTCTTCTCCCTTGTCAACCCTGCGCCCAAACACTGCTACTTTATTTTCAATTAAAAACAGGGGCTGGGAAGGTGGCTCAGTGGTAGAGCGCTTGCTTTGCATGATGAGGCCCTGGGTTCAATTCCTAAGCACCACAAATCAGAAACCCAGAAGTGGTGCTGTGGCTCAAGTGGCAGAGCACTAGCCTTGAGCTAAAGAGCTGAGGGACAGCACCCAGGCCCAGAGTTCAACCCCCACAACCGACCAAAAAAAAAAAAAATTAAAAAGAAAACAAAAACATAAGATTTCTATGTATCCATACACATTTCCCAGCAAATAGATTCCTAAGGCCCTGTTCCAAAATGAAGCACATCAACCCCAGGGCCGGGAGCGGGGCGGGGGGGGGGGGGGGGGAGTGTCGTCCAGTGCTGGGCCGGACACAGAGACCCGGGCAGCTGGGGGCCACTCTCCAGTGCCAAGTGAGACTCAGAGCAAGTGCAGGCCAACCATAGCCAAACACAACCACAGCCCAAGCGCAGCCAAACTGCTGACAGACAGGGGCAGCAGGAGAGACATGATGTCGTTCAGAACGGGGACGTCATTCTATCAAAGAAAGAAATGCATTTACTGAAAAATCACGCTCCAACTGGCTGGAATCCCGGGGTGACAGGCGGGCAGAGAGGCACCCCCACACTGAGATCAGGGAGAAAATCAGGGCACACCAACAAAGAAACAGAAGTGTTCACAGGCACAGGCCACAGCCAGGAGAAAGAACACAAAGAACAAAATTGGACTGAGAAGAGAAAGAGACAAAGTACTGTAAACCAGGACGACTTACAGCTCATAAATATTGATGGCCAACATTTAATGGAATACAAAGATCCAAGAATCAAGATAGGAAGAATGAAAACATTTTTTAAAATGTAGCTTTATTGTCACATCTCATCAAGTGAGAGGGAAAAAAGAAAACACTCCTCAGCGCTGGGACAGACAGAGGAACAGAAGCCCGGTCTCCCGGTCCACGGTGGCTCTCTGTATGAGCTGCCTGTAGGTCAGGTTCTCGTGCGTGTTGGGGTCAAAGAAGCCCTTGGTGTCATCGCTCGGGTCCTCCAGGATGCGGTTCATCTCCTCGTCGAAGTAGCCACGCTGGTAGGCCACATCCACGGGCAGGCGGTGGCTGTGCACCGGGTCGATGACGCCGCCCGTGGCGATCTGGGCCTCCAGCAGGCGGATGCCGTGGTTCCGGACGATGAGGTCCTTCTGCATGGCCTGGAAGAGGGAGATCCGCTCCCCGGTGTAGGGGTCGGTGTAGCCGGTGACCGCGCGCTCGGCCGACAGCAGCTTCTCCCGGATCTCGCCGCCTACCACGCCCGCGGCCACGGCCTCCTCCACCGACAGCCTGCGGTTCTGCACCGGGTCGATGATGAAGCCCGTGGCCGCCTGGGCCTCCAGGAGCACCAGGGCGGTGCCGGGCCGCAGCACGCCCTTCCACATGGCCTGGTAGACGCTCATCTTCTCCTGGCGGCCGGGCTCCCCGGGCACGGGCACCAGGATGCCCGCGATGCAGCCGGTGCCCTCCAGGTAGCGCCTGACTGTGTCCATCTCCGTCACCTCCTGTAGGGTTGCAGTGCCCTGGGCCAGATCCCGCAGGGTGTCGGGACCCAGGATCCCCGAGGTGTGCAGCTCGGACGCAGACACCTGGCGCCTCAAGCCGCGGAAGCTCACCTTGCTGAGCCGCGCCTCAGTCTCCTCCACCAGCTGGGCCAGGATGGAGGTGAGCTGGGCTGGCTGCAGGGAGCCGGTGGCCAGCTGGGCCAGGAGCTCATCACGGTGGGTCTGGCTCAGGTACGCAGAGAAGAGGATGTCCCATGCGGACACAGACTGGCCCCGCAGTGGACCTGAGCGGACCTCCACGGTGACTGCCCGCAGAGCCTGCTCCTGCTGCCCGTGGGTGGCCTCAGCCTCGGTCCCTGCTAGGGAAAGCCCCGAGGAACTGACCCCCGACCCAGGCTGAGAGCCGGGCCCCTGCCGGCTGGGTCTTGTGCACCCTGTCTTGGGTACGTCCTCCTGGGCCTCCTGAAGGATGGTGGTCAGCCTGCGGGTCAGGGCGGGCAGGCCCAGTGCCCCTGACCTGAACTGGGACAGCAGTTCTTCTCGGGCGGCCTGGCTCACATCGCCAGACGCCAGCACGTCCCACACGGGCACCGCAGGTCCCTGGAGGCTGCCCACCTTGACCTCCATGGTGACCTCGCTCAGCGCTGCTCGCCGGTCCTCGGCCTGGGCCAGCAGCGAGGTCAGGCTGGCGCTCGCGTCCTGCACGGTCAGCGTGCCCGCCTGCATCCGGAGAAGCAGGTCCTGGCGCACGGCCTCCGGCACCTGGCTGTAGAACAGGAGCTCCCACACCGACACGCTGCGGCCCGAGGTGAGAGTCAGGCGGGCGTCATGCAGGGCGCCCCGCAGCTCCTCGCCCAGCTGGTGCACGGCGGAGCCCTGGCCCGCCAGCTGCAGCATGTACAGCCCGGTCTCCGGGTCCCACACGCAGCGCTCCAGCAGCTGCCTGTAGGTCAGGTTCTCGTGCGTGTTGGGGTCAAAGAAGCCCTTGGTGTCGTCGCTTGGGTCCTCCAGGACGCGGTTCATCTCCTCGTCGAAGTAGCCGCGCTGGTAGGCCACATCCACGGGCAGGCGGTGGCTGTGCACCGGGTCGATGACGCCGCCCGTGGCGATCTGGGCCTCCAGCAGGCGGATGCCGTGGTCCCGGATGATGAGGTCCTTCTGCATGGCCTGGAAGAGGGAGATCGGCTCCCCGGTGTAAGGGTCGGTGTAGCCGGTGACCGCGCGCTCGGCCGACAGCAGCTTCTCCCGGATCTCGCCGCCCACCACGCCCGCGGCCACGGCCTCCTCCACCGACAGCCTGTGGTTCTGCACCGGGTCGATGATGAAGCCCGTGGCCGCCTGGGCCTCCAGGAGCACCAGGGCGGTGCCGGGCCGCAGCACGCCCTTCCACATGGCCTGGTAGACGCTCATCTTCTCCTGGCGGCCGGGCTCCCCGGGCACGGGCACCAGGATGCCCGCGATGCAGCCGGTGCCCTCCAGGTAGCGCCTGATGTCTGCCTTCTTTTCAATCTCTTGCACTGTGCACTTGCCCTGTTGCAGGTCTGACAGAGTCTGCCTGGAGATGATGGTGGAGTTCAGCAGCTCCCCCGCGGTCACCTGCATTCTGATGCCCCTGAACCACAGTTCTCTCCCTCTGGCTTCCTTCTCACTAATCATTTGGAGGATAATTTGCACGACCTTCTCTAGCGCCCGTGCCGTATCTCCTTTGTACAGCCGAACCAATTCGAGCTTCCTGTCCTCCCTCACATACTCAGAGTTCAGCAGCTGCCACACTGACAGCTGCTGGCCTTTGTATCTCCCCACGGTGATTTCCACCTGCTCGGCCTCCAGTGCCTTCCTGGTGTCCTCATCCACGTAGTCTGCGTCCTTCACATCCTTGACCAGTGGGAACAGCGCCCAGCCGGACTCCTCCCGCTGGCACCTGTCCTGGAGTTCTTTGTACGTGACCTTCTCCTGTGTGTTCGGATCCACAAACCTTCTCCTCATGTGTCTCTGGTCGGTAAGGAGGGCCAGCATGTCCTTGTGCAGACAGCCGCGCCTGTAGGCTGTCTCCAGTGGGACCCGGTGGTGGTGCCGTGGGTCAATCACGCCCCCGGTGGCCATCTGCACCTCCAGCAGCCTCAGGGCCTCCTCCTGCCCGACCAGCTTCTTCCGCATGGCTTGGAACAGCGGGATTATCTCCCCGGAGGCTGGGTCTTCATAGCCCGTGGCGGCCTTCTCAGCCCTCACCAGCCTTTCCTGAAACTCTTTACCCACAATGCCACGGGCCACGGCCTGGTCCACAGTCAGTCTCTGGTGGGTGCGGGGCTCCATCAGGAAGCCAGAGGCTGCCTGGGCCTCAAGCATCTGAGCAGCAAACCCTGCGGGGACAAGCCCGGCCCGGCCGGCCTCCTCAAAGGTCAGGACTTCCTGGGTGAGGGGTACGATCACCCCGGCAATGCAGCCGCAGCCCTCCAGGAATGCTCTCACGTGCTCCAGGGGGCTGAGGTCCTGCTTGTGGAGGGCGTCCACACTCTTCTTATCCAGGACCCCAGCGTTGAACAGCTCCGCTGCGGTCACGTCCTGGCGGATGGCTGCCACCGTGATGGCTTGGTTTTGTCTCTCGGTTCCCTCTACTGTCCTGGTGAGAACCTCCACCAGCTCCTCCAGGCTCACCTTCTGGGTCTTGTACTCCTGCAGCAGCTCTTTCTTCCGGCCCTCTGTAAAGTACTGAGAAGAGAGCAGGTCCCACACAGACACGGTCTGCCCAGCAAACCTGCCCACGTGCATGTCCACTGCTCTGGAGCGCAGAGCCTGCCTCGCGGCCTCGTCGATGTGCGCGCAGGCCTCTCCTCTCTTCCCCACTTCCAGCATGTACAGCCCGGTCTCCGGGTCCTCCACGCAGCGCTCCAGCAGCTGCCTGTAGGTCAGGTTCTCGTGCGTGTTGGGGTCGAAGAAGCCCTTGGTGTCATCGCTCGGGTCCTCCAGGATGCGGTTCATCTCCTCGTCGAAGTAGCCGCGCTGGTAGGCCACGTCCACGGGCAGGCGGTGGCTGTGCACCGGGTCGATGACGCCACCCGTGGCGATCTGGGCCTCCAGCAGGCGGATGCCGTGGTCCCGGACGATGAGGTCCTTCTGCATGGCCTGGAAGAGGGAGATCCGCTCCCCGGAGTAGGGGTCAGTGTAGCCGGTGACCGCGCGCTCGGCCGACAGCAGCTTCACATATGTTTCCCTGCCAAACATCCCTGCTTGGAAAGCCTCCTCCACGGTCAGCTTCCGGTTCTCCACAGGGTCGATGATGAAGCCCGTGGCGGCCTGGGCCTCCAGGAGCACCAGGGCGGTGCCAGGCCGCAGGAGACCCCTCCGCAGGGCCTCTGCGATGCTCATCTTGTCCCCCGAGCCCTGGACGAGGACTCCGGCGATGAAGTTGCCTCCCTCCAAGGACCGCCGCACGCTCTCCATCGCAGTGACCTCCTGCACCGTCTTCTTCCCCTGGCTCAGCTCATCCAGAGTCTGTTTGTTGATCAGCTGCGATCGGAACAGATCCCTGGCCGACACCTGTTTCCGCAGGCCCGGGAAGGTGGCGGCCTGCGAGGGCTGGGTCTCTGCCGCCTCCACCAGGGCCGTTACAGCGCTGACCACCTGCCGCAGGGCCGTGGCGCGGCCGGAGCAGCAGAGTGCCGCCAGCTCTCGCCGCCTGTCGGCACCCACGTACTCGGAGCACAGCAGGTCCCAGAGCGCCACGCTGCGGCCCTGGAACCGCCCGCTGCTGACCGGCACCTTCATGGCCCTCAGAGCCACGGCTGTGTGCTCGTCCACCTCCAGCACCGCGTCCTCGGGGAGCGGCAGGAGCCACAGGCCGGTGGCCGCATCCCGCACACACCGCTCCCGGAGCTGCTGGTACGTGACCTTGTCCCGAGTGTTGGGGTCGAAGAAGAACTTGTTGTCCTCCTCAGGGGCCGTCAGCGCCTGGGCAGTGTGCTCATCCAGGAGCCCCAGTCTGCAGGCCACCGCCTGGGGCAGGTGCACGCCGTGCGCTGGGTCCACCACCCCGCCCGTGGCCAGCTGCACCTGCAGGAGGGGCAGGCCCTCGCTCCGGGGCACGAGCCCCTTGCCCACGGCCTGCCACAAGGAGAGCACGCTCCCCGAGTAGGGGTCCGTGCACCCCGCCACGGCCCTCTCGGCCTGCTTGAGCAGCTCGCTCAGCTCACGGCCCACCAGGCCCGCCCTCACGGCCTCCTCCACCGGCAGTCTCTGGCCGGTCAGCGGGTCGATCAGGGAGCCAGATGCCACCTGCGCTTCTAGCAGCCTCCGGCCCAGGCCTGCGGGGAGGAGGCCATCTCTAGTGGCCTGGGCAATGCTCACCTTCACGTCAGAGGGCTGGAGCAGGACACCGGCCACGCAGCCGGTACCCCAGAGGCAGGCCTTCACGGCGGGCTGCTCCGCCACCTCGGCTGGTGACTGCGTGCCCTCGGCGAGCGCTTCCAACGCGTCCTGGGTGATGATGCCCGTGTCCCGCAGCCAGACGGCGGGGACCTCACCCCGGGGACCCGGCACTGCGATGCGGGCGCGGGCCAGCAGCTCCGACTCCCTCACCCGGCTGCTCAGGACGTCCCGCAGCTGCGGCAGGGACAGCTTCCCCACCCGCACCGCCTCCAGGAAGCCCCGGCGCTGCTCCTCCGTGAAGTGGCAGGAGGCGAGCAGGTCCCAGAGGGACCTGTCCCCGTCCCCGTCTGCGGGGGTGGCCTGCAGGGTCTGCTGGACCTGCGCGTCGGTGGGGACCGGAGGGGCCTCTTCAGGCAGGGGCAGGAGGCGGACGCCAGAGGCCTCGTCCCAGGGGCTCTGCTCCAGGAGCCGGGCGTAGCTGGTGAGCCCCTGCCCGTCCGGCGTGGGGAACGTCTCGGGGGAGCTGCACAGAGCCGCCTCCATCTCCTGGTCAAGGCAGCCACGCTGGACAGCCACGGGTGTGGGAAGGTGGTGGCGGCCGGCGGGATCGATGACCCCTCCGGTGGACAGTTGGGCCTCCAGCAAGCGGGTGGCCCGATCCACAGGGACCAGGCCCTTCTTCATGGCCCCGAACAGGGACACTCTCTTCCCAGAGAAGGGATCCCTGAAGCCCGTGAGGGAGTCCTCGGCCCGCCGCAGCCTGCCGTGCACCTCTGGCCCCACCACCCCCCGGCGCACAGCCTCCTCCACTGACAGGGCCTCCCGACTATGGGGGTCCCGGAGGCCGCCGGTGGCCGCCTGGGCCTCCAGCAGGGCCAGGGCCACGCCGGGCGGCAGCAGCTTCTGCTTCATGGCCTGGTAGATGCTGAGCCGCCGGTTGGAGGCCTGGAGCAGCACCCCGCCCACCACGCCCAAGCCCTGCAGGTACCGGCGGACCCCGTCCATGCGGAAGAGGGCGTCGGGGCTGAGTCTGCCATCCAGCACCTGGTCAAGGAGCTCCTGGTCAATGATGCGGGCCTCCAGGAGCTGGTAGGCTGTGACCCGGCCCCGCAGCGCAGGCAGCGTGACGTCCGCCCACCTCCTCGACTCGTCCTGCAGCAGCTGCGCCACCCGCTCCAGCGTCACCCTGCGCTGCCGGAACTGCTGCAGCAGCCGCCGCCGCCAGGCCTCGCCAAAGTACTCGGAGTTGATCAGCTCCCACGCGGACACCCGCTGCCCCTGGAAGCGGCCATGGCGCACGGGCAGCAGCAGGCTCTGGAAGGCCTGGCGCGTGGGGCCGTCCACCAGCGGGGGGCGCGCCCGGCTGAGCGGCAGCAGCCGCAGCCCGGTCTCCGGGTCCTCCACGCAGCGCTCCAGCAGCTGCAGGTAGGTCAGGTTCTCGTGAGTGTTGGGGTCAAAGAAGCCCTTGGTGTCGTCGGAAGGGTCCAAGAGGATCAAATTCAGCACCTGGTCGAAGTAGCCGCGCTGGTAGGCCACGTCCACGGGCAGGCGGTGGCTGTGCACCGGGTCGATGATGCCGCCCGTGGCGATCTGGGCCTCCAGCAGGCGGATGCCGTGGTCCCGGACGATGAGGTCCTTCTGCATGGCCTGGAAGAGGGAGATCCGCTCCCCGGAGTAGGGGTCGGTGTAGCCGGTGACCGCGCGCTCGGCCGACAGCAGCTTCGCAAACACATCGGGCCCAATGATGCCGGCCCGCAGCGCCTCCTCCACGGAGTGCTTCTTGTTTTCCCTGGGGTCGATGACGAAGCCCGTGGCGGCCTGGGCCTCCAGGAGGACGAGGGCCGTGCCGGGCCGGAGGAGCCCCCGGCCGCGTGCCTCGTAGATGCTGAGGCGCTCCAGGGAGTCCGGCAGCAGCAGGCCTGCGATGCAGCCCGTGCCCTGCAGGTACCTCTGCACTGTGGCCAGGCCGCCCACGTCCTGGGCGGAGGCCTGCCCCTGCTCCAGCTGCTGGAACAGCTCCTGGTCAATGATCTTGGCTTTCAGAAGTTCTTCAGGCGTCACGGTGTCCCTCAGCCCGGTGAAGGTGACTTTGGCAGTGGCCGCCGCCTGCGTCACAATGGTCTTCAGCTCGGCGGCCAGCTCCTCCTCTGCCAGGGTCCCCTCTTGGTGCTGCCGTGCCAGGGCTGCCCTCCGCTCCACGGGCACCGCTTCCGAGAAGAGCAGTTCCCAGAGGGACACGGGCCGGCCCTGGAACCGGCCGGCGGCCACAGTGGTGGTGGCTGCGCTCAGGGCCTGCCGGGTGCGGTGCTCGATGAACGTGGGTCCGTGGGGCGCCCCCCCGCAGGGCGCCCCCGGGAGGGGCAGGAGGGCGAGCCCCGTCTCGGGGTCGGTGACGGAGCGAGCCAGCAGCTGCCCATAGTGCAGGCGGCCATGTGCGCTGGGGTCAGAGAAGCCAGGGGTCTGTGAGAGAGCCTGCTGGGTCTCCTCATCCAGGCAGCTGAAGCGCAGGGCGGCTGCCAGGGGCACCCGGAGCCTGCGGGCTGGGCAGACCAGCCCACCCGTGGCCAGCTGTGCGTCGAGGAGGCGCAGGGCCAGGGGCCGGTCGATCAGCTCTTTCTTCATGGCCTGGAAGAGAGGGATCTGGGAGCCGCTGAAGGGGTCCTGGTAGCCCGTGACCGCCTGCTCCGCCACCAGGAGTGGCTCGTGGAGCTCAGGGCCCACCAGGCCGGCCCTGACTGCGTCGGGCACCGGCAGCCGCCGGCCCGTGGCTGGGTCCACCAGCGTGCCGGTGGCAGCCTGGGCCTCCAGGAGCTGCAGCGCGGCACCCTCGGGAACCAAGTGCTCGGCGATGGCCTGGTAGAAGCTCTTCTTGAGGCCTTGGGGCAGCAGGACCACCCCCGCCAGGCTGCCGGTCCCCTGCAGGTAGCGCTGCACCTCGGGGTGCATGCTCACCTCTGACGCGGCCAGCGTGCCCTCTCTCAGGCCCTGAGCCAGCTCCTCATCCAGGACCCCAGCCTCCCGCAGCTCAGCCACGCTGGCCGCCCCTGCCAGCGTGCGGAAGGCAGTCCTGAGGGGCAGCAAGCGTAGCCCTGCGCGCGGGGCCTGCACACACCTGCCCAGCAGCGTGCGGTAGGGCAGGGGCTCGAGGGTATTGGGGTCTGTGAAAGTGGCGGCATCCAGGGTAGGCTCCGGCTCGGTCAGCGCATGCCATGTCTCCCGGTCCAGGAGCCCCTGTTGGCAGGCCTGCTCGGGATCTACCCGCCCCTCCCGGGTGGGGTCTACCAGGCCCCCGGTGGCCAGCTGGGCCTCCAGCCAGCTCCTCCCACGGGCCTCGTCTACAACTTCCTTTCTGATGGCCTGGAAAAGGGCCAGCTTCCTGCCCCCGTAGGGGTCGGGATAGCCGGTGACGGCTCGCTCCGCAGCCAGGAGCCTCTCCTTCAGCTCCAGCCCCACCAGGCCCTGCCGCAGGGCCTGAGACACAGGGAGCAGCCGGCCCTGGGCAGGGTCCACGAGGCCCCCGGTAGCCGCCTGAGCCTCCAGCAGAGCCAGCCCCAGCCCCTCGGACAGGAGGCCCTGCTTCATGGCCTCGTAGACGCCCTGGGTCTGCCCCGAGGCCTCCAGGTACACCCCAGCAATGCTCCTCGCCACGGTGGGCGGGGAGGCCCCCCCGGAGGGGGCGCTGACTCCCGACACAGCCTTCCCATCCTGCGGGGCAGCGGCCCGCTCCGTGCCACCTGAGGCCAGGACGCCGAGAGGAGGAGAGATCCGGCCGTTCATGGCACACGGCGGCTTGTGCGGAACTTTCCTGGGGTCCACCGGTGACCTGAGAGGAACAGAAAGGCTCTGTCAGGGCCGAGGCAATGCGCAGAGATTGGGGTGGGGCCCAGCCAGGCCAGCAGAGCCCCAGAATGTCCCTGAGCAGTGCCCCGGCTCTGGGTGACAGAGGACGTGGACCAGTCCCCCGGACCACAGGCTTCCGCGCTGGGGTGCCCTGAGGCGCGAGAGGCTGCCCAGCGAGCTCACAAAACACAGGTAGCCGCCTTTCAGGACGAGAGGTGTCTTCCCGGGGAGGCATTGACACCTCTACCCCAGCCTCCCAGGGCGGAGGAGCCGGGGTCTCCTGATGCCCCACGTAGCCTCTGACCCACCCATCTAGCCCTGGCTGTCTGGTCCCATGCTGGCCTCCTCCAGCCACCTCTACCCAAGCCCGTCACCTTCCAAGTCGGGTTGCATGGATTGCCCAAAAAGATAGCTCAAAGTCCTAAGTGGCAGGACTCGCAGCCATGGCCTTATTTGGAAAGAGGATCTGTGAATGTAACAGATGAGCTCACAGGGCACAGCCTGGCCCCGGGCTGGTGAACCTAGTGTCCTGGTAAGATGGGGGGGCGGGCAGCCAGTGCCAGTCCTGGGCCCTGGAGCTGGAGGAGCCAGGGTCCTCCCCAGAGCTGTCGGGGTGGCCTGCCCCGCCCGCTCCGGCCCCACCAGTGCCCGCCTTCCCCACAGGGCTCTGAGGCTCTCCACATTCTCCCTCTGGGCCCAGAGCCTCAGCACTGCTGGAACCTTCTCTGGGCTCAGCAGTCGGGCCACACCCTCCGGCCTTGGCTCACACGCAGGGTCCAGAGAGGCCCCGGCCTTCCCTCCCCCGCACAGGCTCCGCCTGGAGACTCGAAGTGCACTTTGGACCCCACTACCCGGGACGTGGGGACTCCTCCACCACCAATTTGGCTCTGGCTGTGTAGCCGGTGGATCGGAGCCCCTGGCCCGTCCATGCCTGCCCGGTGGTCCTGGCCTGCCCGTGTCCTCCGCCGGGCACGGGCAATCCAGGTGCCCCACACCTGCGCACGCGGTGGCCCGGGGGCTCCAGTGCCCCCTCGCGGCTCACTCCGAAGGGCACAGCTGTGCGCTGGCCCACCCCGTCTACCTCAAGCCCACGAGGGCCCTGTGAGAACCCTTCCCTGACTCCTCAGAGCTTGTCCCGCCCCACGGCCCTCCTGCTTGTACCGCCGGGCCGCCACGTCGCGTGGCACGGCCTTCTCTGACCGCTCGAGGCCCTTCCAAACCCTCGTGCTCAGGCACAGTCATCCCAGAGCGGGGGGGTGGGGGGGCAGCCAACAGTGGCCTCACCGGCACATTCAACCTGGCGCACGCCGCTGCCTGGCCGGGGACGGGGCAGGCAGCCCCCGGCAGCGCCCTCAGGAATCGCCGCCCTGCCAGCTTCCTGGGGTGCAACGCGACGCGGAGCGAGTCAGCCGTCACATCCGTATCCAAATGCTCTCGGGATCTCTTCCCTGACAAAATCCGGCCTCCCTCCCGCCACGGGCCTGCTGCACATGCCCCGGTGTTCACGAGGATCCAGGAGGGCAGCAGCGGCCACCCCGGCTGGCCCAGCCCGGCCTAGCAGTGAGCCCTGCTCTGGCAAGGGTGGGGCCTCAGGACGCAGAGCAGCCTGGTGGAAGAACGTAGGGGAGAACGGGAGGATGGGGATTGTTGCTAAGTAACCAAATTTCAGGAAAAGATGACCAACGCCCGAGAATGACCAGCTGGACGGCTGTGGGGTTCTTGTCTCCCCGGAAGCCAGGCCGCGGAGGCCCCGGGCACAGGGCGCTGCCCACGGAGACCCCGGACACAGGGCGCTGCCCGCGGAGGCCCCGGGCACAGGGCGCTGCCCACGGAGGCCCCCGGGCACAGGGCGCTGCCCGCGGAGGCCCCGGGCACTGGGCGCTGCCCACGGAGGCCCCGGGCACAGGGCGCTACCCACAGAGGCCCCGGACACAGGGCGCTGCCCGCGGAGGCCCCGGGCACAGGGCGCTGCCCGCGGAGGCCCCGGACACAGGGCGCTGCCCGCGGAGGCCCCGGGCACAGGGCGCTGCCCGCGGAGGCCCCGGGCACAGGGCGCTGCCCGCGGAGGCCCCGGGCACAGGGTGCTGCCCGCGGAGGCCCCCGGGCACAGGGCGCTACCCACGGAGGCCCCGGACACAGGGCGCTGCCCGCGGAGGCCCCGGGCACAGGGCGCTGCCCACGGGGGCAGCCCCGGGCACAGGGCGCTGCCCGCGGAGGCCCCGGGCACAGGGCGCTACCCGCGGAGGCCCCGGGCACAGGGCGCTACCCACGGAGGCCCCCGGGCACAGGGCGCTGCCCACGGAGGCCCCGGGCACAGGGCGCTGCCCACGGAGGCCCCCGGGCACAGGGCGCTACCCACGGAGGCCCCGGGCACAGGGCGCTGCCCACGGAGGCCCCGGGCACAGGGCGCTGCCCACGGAGGCCCCGGACACAGGGCGCTACCCACGGAGGCCCCGGACACAGGGCGCTGCCCGCAGAGACCCCCGGGCACAGGGCGCTGCCCGCGGAGACCCCCGGGCACAGGGCGCTGCCCGCGGAGGCCCCCGGGCACAGGGCGCTGCCCGCAGAGACCCCCGGGCACAGGGCGCTGCCCGTGGAGGCCCCCGGGCACAGGGCGCTACCCACGGAGGCCCCGGGCACAGGGCGCTGCCCGCGGAGGCCCCCGGGCACAGGGCGCTGCCCGTGGAGGCCCCCGGCCTGCCGGGGTTGCAGGCACGGTGGGGACACTGCCTCCCAGGTGACCCCTGGCGCCATCTTGCAAGCCAGGACCTGCCAGGCGGCCACCGCCATCCATGCCTGATGGGAGCCCAGCTCCAGGGTCTCTGGAGGAGAAGCCACCAGGAAGGCAGCGCCCACAGCAAGGGGGTGGGAATGGCCACCTGCAGGGAGCGGCTATCTTACAGTAAAGGGAACGCGCAGCCACACTGACCGGAGAGGACGCTCAGAAGAGGGTCTGGCCACGTCCAGCAAGCCCACGCCGGCAGATATGCCGAAGGTCAAGAATGTCCACTCTGGATCGCCGAGGAAGGGCCATGGGTGGTTAGCACCAAGACCTGAGCCACGGACAGCCTAGCCATCCAGACCTTCCTCCTCTGCACTTCTGAGCAAGGGGCCTGTGTTCTCTGGAGGCCGGCTCAGGGCCAGTGCGGCCATGAGCCTCGGGGCTGGCACGCAGCACAGCAGGGCAGTGTCCCCTCCCTCCCTCCGCCCTGCCTCCCTCCCTCCTCCTTCTGTTCCATGAGGCTTCCTGGGCCACTCTGTAGTGACCCATGGAGACCACTTCCCGCCCGCCCAGCACCGTGGCCACCCTTCCCACACCGCTGCCTCCCAGGCACACGTGAAAGACGCTGGCCTGGTGGGGCCCTGCGGCCCCTGACCTCTGCCAGGGTGAGGGGTGGAGGACAAGCGGCCACTGCCCAGCCTCGACGAAGCTCCACACTGGGACCATAGGAGGGGCCAGGATGGCCAGCTGGGCACAGCGTGGCCTGGACAATCAGGCCAGACGCCCCGTGTGCTGTGGAGCAGGCATTGCCTGGGTGGGAAGCCAGAGTGCCAACCTGAGCTTGGGCAGGGAAGCCACGTGCGTTCCCTGGACAAAGAGGAGATTCAGGGAGGGCAGCCGCTGAGCTGGCTGAGCGGGCGAGAGGGAGTCCGGGGCGGGCGGCCGCCGAGCTCTGGCGTGCGGCCGGGCTGGCTGGCGCTTTGCTCCGTCAGCTGGCCTGTGAGCTTGGCCCAGATGTCACGCTCAGGTCCTGCTCTGGCCTGGGCTGCCACAGGAAGATATAGGAGGAGCCGCCTGCGTCTGGGTCTGACTGTGGAAGACACAGAGGGGTATCCAGAGCAGGCTCCACCACAAGACAGCTTGGGGAGGGACAGGAGACCAAGGCCAAGAATCTGTCCCAGGGAGAGGCTGCGGGTGTGAGTGAGCTGTGAAGAGCTGTGGGCTTCGGGCTGGGGAAGGGAGGTGGAGCAGATCCCTGTAGCCCAGGCAGCAGAGCGGAGGGAGCTCTTCCTGCTTCTGCAGCTCCACCTCAGGGCCCCGGCACCCCAGCACAGTGAAGAGCCGTTCCCGAGGCCAGTGGGCAGGCCCGGGGTGGTTGGGCCTGGGCCGGGTGAGCCCAGTAAGGGCCGGCAAGGACCCGTGGGCTGTCACCTTGAGCAGGGAGGCCGGGCACACTCAGCTCACACGAGGGACAGAGCTTGGCCTCTGCCCCACGGTGAGCAGCTGGCTTAAGAACACAGCTCACCAGGCAAGGCTGGCCTGAGGAGGCTGAGTGGGGTCAAGGGTCAGGGCCCCTCTGGCTCCACCAGCCTCCGCCTCTGCCTCCCAAGGTCCAGAGATAACAGACGGGCTGGCAGAAGTGGGCAGCTCCTGCCGGCTCAGCCCCGCCCCTGCCCAAGCCGAGCCTCTGGCCCTTGGGTCCGTGGGCCTGTCTCTGCCACAGGTGCCAGCCAGCTCCGCGGAAGGCCTAGTCTTGCGGTGAGGATGGAGGGCCTGCTGTCCGGCTGTGGCAGCCGGGATGGGGGCTGCAGCGGCTCCACCCTTCCCTACCTCAGGATGGGGGCTGCAGCCGCCCCCCGTGTAGCAGCCAGCGGCCGGGCTCCAGGGTGCCGCCTCTGGCAGCCCTCAGAGCTTCCTGCGGGGCCTCCTGCCCTGTGCTCCCGTCCTGCCGCACGGCGGTCCCCACCGGCCCCTCCAGTCCTCACCTGCGCTCAGCTAGGGTCTCCCCCCGGCAAGCTCAGGTCCGCCTTCCTGGTCTGTCTGCAGCTCGCTCCGCTCCCAAGTTTAAATCCTCCGGCCCCGCCCTGCGTTGGAGGTGGCAGGCAGGTGGGGCGGGCAGGTGCCGGAGCTGCCGGGAGGCTGGCCCTTCCCCAGGAGTCACAGTCACAGCAGAAGAATGCAGGGTGGGGGCGGAGCGACCTTTGTGTGCCCCGGCTTTGAACGGAGTTTGCAAGGGAAATGCAGACCTGCTGGGAGCTGGGTTTAGTTCCCTAAAGGAGACTTTCCCTCTGTGTGTGTGTGTGTGTGTGTGTGTGTGTGTGTGTGTGTGTGTGTGTGTGTGTGCTGGGTTTAGTTCCCTAAAGGAGACTTTCCCTGTGTGTGTGTGTGTGTGCGCGCGCGCGTGCTGGGTTTAGTTCCCTAAAGGAGACTTTCCGTGTGTGTGTGTGTGTGTGTGTGTGTGTGTGTGTGTGTGTGTGTGTGCCCTTAGAGGCCTGGGGGGGGGGGGGGTCTGCAGGGACCTGCCTGGTTCTTGGGGACAGTCCAGTGCTGGGCTGGGCGACTGGGGGCTCTCCTTGGTGGGCCGTCCCCAGGCCTGGGCCTCCATGGGCTGCTGGTTGGAAGCTCTCTGGGAGGGATGGCCAGGCCTTGCCCGGTCTCTCGTCTGGGCTCAGGGAAGCCCCTTCTGAGGCTGGCCCAGCCTCACCTGTGGAGGCTGGTGTGTGCAGGAGGTGAGGTGCTGGAGGCCAGAGCCTCAGGGTGAGGAGCTTGGAGGGCCCCCCGCCCAGCCCCAGCGCAGCAGAGGAACTAACGGCCGGTCTTCTGGCTGGTCCTCCCCTCTGCTGCCCCGACATCCAGGGGCAGGATGGAGGTGGGCTGCCGTTCACCCCGGCAGGCAAGGCCCCCTACCCCGGGACCCTTCCCCCCATCCTCACCTCTGCCTGAGTCATTCTTGATCAGTAATTTGTCCAGAGCCACCCAGCCGTCTCCAACCCACATCATCAGGGCCCCCAAGCTGGCCAGCCCTGCAGAGGGGTGTCCAGCCCCTGCCGGGAGCTGGGCCCAGCTGCTGAGGTCGGGTGGTCCCGGCTCAGGCCACGCCCACACCTGTCCCCGGGCCTGAGCTCTGCTCTGGCCGCCCCGTCGCCTTCCCACTCCAGCTCGTGTGGCTGCGCCGGCCGTTGGGGAACCCTGACCTCGACACCGTGGTGAGCTTGGGTGTTGGCCCACACTTCTTCCAGTGCAGCCATGCAGCCTCATCCGGCCCTGCCCTGTTCTCCAGCTGCTAGGACGGGGTCTGTAGGGTCCCGTGGGGTGCAGGTGGTGCTGGGGTACACTCCATGTCCAGGTCACTTCATCCTGTGGCCAGGCTGAGGCCACAGCACCCAGACCAGGCCACGGAATCCAGGTGCTTGGTGTGAGGCTCGCCATTCCTCTCCCCTGTGTCCAGTGGGCAGTGTCCTTGCCTGTCCTGTCCCATCCTGGCCTGTCCTGTCCCGTCCTGGCCTGTCCTGTCCTGTCCCATCCTGGCCTGTCCCGTCCTGTCCTGTCCCGTCCTGGCCTGTCCTGTCCCATCCTGGCCTGTCCTGTCCTGTCCTGTCCCGTCCTGGCCTGTCCCATCCTGGCCTGTCCTGTCCTGTCCTGTCCCGTCCTGGCCTGTCCTGTCCTGTCCCATCCCGGCCCGGCCCGTCCTGGCCGTCCTGGCAGCCCTGCTCCAGCAGCACACATTGGCCCTGTCTTCCAGGTCCCATTCCCTGGCCTCCAGCGTACTCTGGCTCCCACTTCCCGCAGCAGCCTCTGCCCGCGGCGGCCTCTGCCCGCGGTGGCCTCTGCCCACGGCGGCCTCTGCCTGTGGCGGTCTCTGCCCACGGCGGCCTCTGCCCGTGGCAGCCTCTGCCCACAGCGGCCTCTGCCCGTGGCGGCCTCTGCCCGTGGCGGCCTCTGCCCGTGGCGGCCTCTGCCTGCTGCAGCCTCCAGCTCAGATCGTCTTGGGACCTGCTGGAGGTAGGGGGATCTGTGCTCCACTCCCTGGCCACCAGGCTGCCCCTGACCAGTGCTTCAGCCCAGGAGCCCCCGGGACCCCAGGCAGCTCCTCCAGCACCCAGCCCTGGGCCCATGCCAGCCAGGCAGCAGGAAGGGGTGTCAGGAGGGGTGAGCCCCCATACCCAATACTGCCCTCACCCACTTGCTGTTGCGTAGAGACAGAGAACCCCTCCCCACACTACCCTAGAGCCTGCAGCAGCTTCAACTGCTCTGCAAGCCACTGAGCTCCCCACACGGGGCAGGGCACTCAGAAGGTACAGGTCAGGAGATGGGGACCAGGGTCACCATGCTAACCCCAGGCCATCCTGCAAGTCACTGTGCAGCCTGGAGCACTGGGCCAGAGCCCCGCTGGCCCTGGCTGTGCCGTCCAGAGAGCGTCCGCCCTAAGCTGGATCAGGAGCCTCAGCAGCCCCTCCATGGAGCACCACCCGCAGAGATGGACAGAGGGGTGCTGCCTGCAGAGATGGACAGAGGGGTGCTGCCTGCAGAGATGGACAGAGGGGTGCCGCCCGCAGAGATGGACAGAGGGGTGCCGCCCGCAGAGATGGACAGAGGGGTGCCGCCCGCAGAGATGTGGAGGCGGCAGGGGGTGAGATGGCAGGGCTGGGTTGAGAGGCCAGTCGACCCTTCCCCGCAGGGCTGTGTCAGCAGCGTGGCCGGCCAGCAGCTCCATCAACAGGTCCGGGCCGCAGACATCCTCACAGGTGACCCCTCCTGGCGGGGCTAGATTCCTGGTGGACGGGGGCAAGGTGCTGCGGGACCTGTCCTTCTGGTGGGGATTCCTGAGGACAGAGGAGCGTGGCCTCTGCCCAGCTCCAGACTGGAGGCTGACGTGGAGCCTCTGCCCCCACATCACCGACACGTCCTCACGCGGCCCACCAGTGGCTCGCGCTTTCCCGGCTGCCACAGCAGGCCCAGCGCGCCCTCCGGGTCCTCTCAGTGGGAAGGGGCAGCCAGGACCCAGCCACGCTGGGGTGCCGGGTCCGTGTGGGGAGGAAAGCCGGCCACTTCCCACTGTGGGCTGGATCGGTCCTGTCCACCCCCCACTCCTAGCCCTCCGGTGGGTGCACTGGGCGAGGGGACGTCCCGGTGGAGGAGCACACCACACACTCACGCTGGTGCACTTTAAGAGGAGCAGTCTGGACGCCCAGATGCCCACCTGCCCTCCACTGTCGGAGGCCCCCAGCCACTGCTCCAGCCGATTGGGAGGCTAAGGGCGGAGGAAGGGAGGGACAAGGCCAGATCAGGCAGAAAAGTTCACAAGGCCCACACTGAAAATAACCAGCAAAATCAAGGCTGGGGTACGGTTTAAGTGGTAGAACACCAGCCTGCCAAGTTCAAACCCCAGTACCATAAAAATAAAACAGCTCTCAGAAACACCAGAGCCCAACCAAGAAGTTGCCATGAGAAATCCCGCCAGCCCCCGTCCCCCTCCGCCCCCCGTCCCCCAGCCCTCCTGTCCCCCTCCACCCTCCTCCGCCCCCCCCGTCCCCCAGCCCTCCTGTTCCCCTTTGCCCCCCTCTGCCCCCTGCCCCCTCCACCCCCTTGTCCCCCCTGCTCCTTCCCCCCCCGCCGTCCTCTGCCAGATTCCCTGGGCTCTCTCCCCTCCCGGGTGTGGGGGTGCTGGGGTGCTACCCTCCTTCCCTGTCTGTCCAGGCACCTGCAGGCTCAGGGCCCCGCCGCACTCAGGCCATGGTCCCTTGGGAGGGCTGACCGCCCTGCCAGGCCACACCAGGCCCACTTGGTCTCTACGTGGTCTTGAGCCTGGTGTCCAGCTCCCAAATCTGGGACCGGTGCCCCCCAAGGACTCCACCTCTGCCCGTAGAATAGCTGGAGAGAGATATCTCCGGCCCGGCGCACTGCCTCAGGGTGGCCCCAGCCTGGGCCTGGCTCACCAACCGGTAACAGCTCTGCCGCGGGCCCCAGGGTCCCTGATGAAGGGCCCTGCCCCCGACGGGCCCTGTCCCCCGACGGGCACGGTGAGTCCTTCAGCCGGCCGGGGGCCTCTGCCCACCGTGCTAGCTGCTTGCGCTGCTTGGCCACCTGAGCCAGCTGGACACTCATCCCGGGGAGGAAGCCAGCTTCGTCCCGCCCTGCTGCCAGGGCGGGGGGCACCGGCTCGGGTCGAGGGCGCGCACGTCTGCTCCGGCCCTCAGGTCCTGCGTGCTGGGAGCTGGCTCCTCCAGCTCCTCCAGCCCCAGGCCAAGGGGCAAGGGGACGGGTCGCTGTCCTCAGGGCGTGCAGCGGCTGCCAGGCACAGGCAGCACCAACCTCACCTGCTCCTGAGCTGCTCCAGCCGCCACCCTGCCAACTGAGCCTGGTCCTCCCACCCGTGCCAGAGGGAAGTGGCCGGGGTTGGGACGTGGCACTCAGGGGACTTGGGGACGAGGGCAGGGAGGTGGGCTCTGTGGGGTCTGGGGCTTGAGGCCCACGCCATCCCCCAGGAACACCCAGTCTGCACCAGGAGGCCCAGCCCGTGAGGCCCAGGGCGGGCATCCCATTGGGCACCAAGACAAGAGCACTGCCAGTGTCGCGGCGGGGGGGGAGGGAGCGGGTGGCTGGCCGCGAGCAGCCGGCCGCCTCAGGCCGGTCTCCAGAGCCCTCCGAGGCCTTGGTACATGTCCAGGCCCCTTCACCCACATGCTGCAGACACATGCTGCTGAGCCGGTGCCAGCCCGCGGGTGCCCAGCTCGCGGGTGCCCAGCCCGCGGGTGCCCAGCCCGCGGGTGCCCGCCCGCCGGTGCCAGCCCGCGGGTGCCCAGCCCGCTGGTGCCCAGCCCGCCGGTGCCAGCCCACGGGTGCCCAGCCCACGGGTGCCCAGCCCACGGGTGCCCAGCCCGCGGGTGCCAGCCCGCCGGTGCCCAGCCCACGGGTGCCCAGCCCGCGGGTGCCCAGCCCGCGGGTGCCAGCCCGCGGGTGCCCAGCCCGCCGGTGCCCAGCCCGCCGGTGCCCAGCCCGCGGGTGCCCAGCCCGCGGGTGCCAGCCCG